AAAAGTTTACGGATATCCGGAATTTTCGGATCGAATCGAAACGAATAACGGATCGAATCAAATATAACGGATAAAATGCCCAGCCCTAGTAAGAATGACCATCTGGAACATCAGTTTCGTTTGCGATTCATATAATTTATCATTTTATTCGTAAGGTGCTAAACTTTTGACTATTGGATTCAATTATCATATGGTTCATGGCGTTTATCAAATGTGACGGTCGACATGTGAATTAACTTCAAACTTGAACCTTTGACGTATTTAATTACTACTAATCGACGACTCGTAGACTTAAGTATTTGTTAGTATTGGTTTTTTCTTTTGCTTAGTTGACAAACATTAGTTTGTGTATCTGCATGAATTACGCGTTAGTTAACATTATTTTAAGATGTTTTGTGAGTATTCAAATTATAGATTGTACAACTGAAGATCATTTACAAAATGCCAAAGAAGCTTGACTGTTGGTGTTTAACGCGTTTTGTCTTGTTTCTATCTCATTTCACCGTTTTTCTAGTTTTTTTTTCCAATTTTTTAAAAAATATTTTGGACGTGTTTGGTTATTATTTAGATACGAAAGTTCTCACAACCAAAATCAAAACAGTGAGAAAATATTCTCACAATTCATATATATATATAAATTTTAACATCCCCTACATGCATCAACCAAGGCCAATAGTCATCAAAACTTCGTCTTAATCTTTATAAAACAATATAATACTCTATATATTTCACATATCAAGAAATGACATTTTCAGCTAAATTAAGAAATGTATTAAAAAATATTTGTTAACAAAAGATAATAATTAATACGGTAGAGTTATGGAATTAAAACTGGAATATTGTTTTAAAATTTTTGTTTGGAAATGTAAAAAAATATTCATTGTGAAACAAAATTCAAATAAAAATATCTTTTTTTTTTGTGAATGGATGAAGTATATCAACTTTCTAAATCTGTACGAAATTGGTAGTGGAGAACTCGAACTTAATTATAGTTATTCAACTAACATGGGATTCTTTGATGATTTAGTTACAAATATCATTTAAGTTTTAAAATAGATTTCAAAATATTTCATGGATTATTTACATGTTGTAAAAAGGATTTATAGTTGTGAATATATTAGACCAAATATACATGTTTTATACGGTACCAAAATAATGTAATTCTTCGAGTTTAGATATATATTTGTTTAATGTTCCCAAAAAAGATAATATTTGTTTCAAAATGTTTACACGCAGGATGCCATAATAAGCAAATAAGGATTTTTGCAACTGTTAGTTTACGTTATTCTACTAGGAATATGTCTCCATACTGAGCAAAAAAAAAATCGTTTTTATAATAATGACCAAGGTCCCAATCGGTTTAAACTTCAGTTGTTATAAAACATATAATTTAATTCTTAAATTTATACCTAATTTTTTAAAAATCATATATAAAATTTATAAAACTCTGAATTTTATTTTTCAAAATCATGTTGTAATAGCTATTTGATTTCTATTTTAGTTTTTTATAACTATGAGGTTTTGGTGACCGAGGTCAACCGACTAATCCTAAAAGATCTGCAGCAGCCACGTATTCTTACCATTTAAAACAGTTCAGGTGGCAAGCGGGATTCGAAGCTAAATCTTTATTGAACCCAAAAATCTTTCAAGACCAGTAGTCCATCTTCGTTTAGTTATCTATTTTAATTTTTTTAATTGTTAGTTTTTAACATTACTTAAAAATATTATATTATTCAGTAACTAAAGTCATGATAACCAAATCAAAATTTGCAGTAACAATCTCAATAGTTAGTCAAAACCTTAAACATCAGCCAATTTTTTTAAAAAATTATATAAATTCTTTTGATTACATCAAATGTTTCAACCATATTTGTAGTCCATCTACATACCATTCATCTTCCATTCTTCTAAATGAGAGTAATTACAGAGCCTATACTTGACTTGATTCGAAAAAACACTAATTACGTGACGAATTACTGTACCAACAACGTTTCTTAGGAAAAGAAGAGAAGCAAATACTACAAGTCTACAACATAATTGTCTCTTTTTCACTAGCAAGTTACAACACTACTACTACATGGGCAAAACCGTAAACAACAAAGTTAGGTGTTTGTTTGACTTCGTCCTACCGACGAACAACCAAGCCTCGTGAAGAAGGATAAAAATGTAATTCATAGAAAACGGAAAGCGTTGAACGTGGAGAACAGTGAACCTAGACACATTCGTCGATTTTTATTAAAAAGAAGCAATAAATAAAACACGTGTTTTTAAAGGGGCGCAAAATTAGATAAAGTTTCATGTTATTAATTAATACTGTATATATATTCTTGTTATTGGAGGTAGGAGGAGACTCTGAAACCAAACTCAAATTCACCAAAGAAACCAAAGAAGAAGAAGAGCGAAACTGAAACTAAGAAGAAGAATATTAGATTTCGTGGACTGAATATAGCTATTGGAGAAACTCGTTTTGATTAGTGTCTACCAAGGTTTTTGTTTGTATAACGATGTCTAGTCCTATGGAGTGCTCTGATTTCGCCGCTACTCGGAGATTTACAAGGAAGCCTAGCTTCTCCCAGACGTGTAGTCGTTTGAGTCAGTATCTGAAGGAGAACGGTAGCTTTGGAGATCTCAGCTTAGGGATGTCATGCAAGCCTGAGGTCAACGGTAAGCAAGCAACCCCTCTTCTCTTTCTTATAGATCCAGTTTTTAATCCACTAATCGAAGCAATTGATCATTTGTTTGACCGGAATTAGGCTATAGGCAGAGGAAGTGATTTAGCATCTAAGATCTTAAGAGTTTTAATCTTTAGTTTACGTAATAAACACGTTTTTTCTTTGCCTAATAAGTGTATGTACTAAGTAAGCTTGCGTGTAGGTTTGTTTAAAAGTGGTTAGCGTTCTGTTTCCTACCTAAGTTTCGGCTATTTTCTTCTAGTTGTATTTGATTATCATAGAAACCGAAAGAAGGCTTAACCATAACTTAAACCGAGATCTTACCTTTTTGGATCATATATATTTTTGCAGGCATCTCACGTCAGCCCACAACAACCATGAGTTTATTCCCTTGTGAAGCTTCCAACGTGGATTCCGTTGCGAATGGTCAAGATGTTAAACCCAAGAACCTGTTTCCTAGGCAACCAAGCTTTTCTTCCTCATCTTCTTCTCTCCCCAAGGAAGATGTCGTCAAAATTACACAAACTACTACTACTAGGTATGTTCTGCTAAAACATGTAAATCTGATGTACTAAAGCTAATATTTATTTTTGTTATCTCTTTTTCTAATTAGTGGTGTTTTCTTGAAACATAGATCTGTGCAACTAGAGCCTCAAACTGCACCGTTGACTATATTCTACGGCGGGCAAGTGATTGTGTTCAACGACTTTTCTGCTGAGAAAGCCAAAGAAGTGGTGGACTTGGCGAGCAAAGGAACCGCTAATACCTTCACCGGTTTCACATCTAATGTCAACAACAACCAAAGTCTTTACACTAGAGCCAAGAATCAACCAGAGATCAGAAACAGCATTGCTCCTATCCCAAACCAACTTCCTCTTCTCATGAAAACCACAACACAAGATCCAATTCAATCCTCCTCAACTGCAATGGCATGCGGTAATCTTTCACACCTTTTTGTTTATGTCTCTATGTAACATTTAACCATATATATATATATATATATTAACGAAGAAAATTCCCTTCTTTTACAGAACTTCCTATTGCTAGAAGAGCTTCCCTCCATCGGTTCTTGGCCAAGAGAAAGGACAGGGTTACGTCAAAGGCACCATACCAATTAAGCGATCCATCCAAAGCGTCTTCAAAGCCTCAAACCGGAGACAACACCACCGCTTGGCTTGGTTTAGCAGCTGAAATGTGAAGGACATGGCTTAACCACCACAAACCGTACCAGGCTATTCTTTTGACGTCTCATCAATAAACAAGATATATATATAAAAATGCTCCTGCGTTATGGTTCTTAGTTCACGTTTAACTATATTTTACAACTATATTTAATCGTTAGGAAACTTCATATATTTGTATGTATCTGTTTATGATTAGCGATCAATTCTTGTTAGTCTGTCTTGTACTAGGTCTTGTATCATGTCAGTCTAAATCCCCTTTCTCTGGGCCGTCTCAGAACTAGTCTCGTACGTTACTGAGTTTGTAAGAACAACAAATTTTGTTGATGGCAATGCTAGTTTTAATTTTAATCTTCTTTCTTTAGTCTCCTTCCAAAGCACTGCTCTTTACCTAGTTTACAAACAAACAAACAAACAAACAAACAAAAATGGTTAAAAAGTCCTTTTTCCTCTAGTTAAAAAAAAACTCGAAATCATATAATTATTTCCGAGGAAAATATTAGAGATAAACTGGATGGTCAAATGTCGTATATTTTATAGATGAAAATTAAAATAAATCATGATATACTAGGCTATTTTCTGTATGTATTTAGAAAAGCTTACAATGCTTAACATTATATATATTTATACCTAAACAGCTCAATAATAATATTCTTATTCTATGATATTTTACCGACAAGAAAAGACATAAGAAAAAGACTGGTTCTACTTTAACATGTGCATGTTTCTTTGATTTCTTGTTTTTTTTTTCTTTTTGAACAAAATTTCTTGTCTTTTTATTACAACCTTGGTATCTTGATTGCCGAAAGCACAAAATTTTTAGTTTATATATTTCTTTTCTTATTTGTTTAATATCACGAGTTACTAGTTACTACTACTACTCTGTTTAAAAATAATGGCATTTCAATATTTGAACCAATGAATTATTAGTAGGTGTAACTGACATTAGCTAAAAAAACAATAATTGCATTTCATTAAGAAGATTACTTTCAACTTCCAACTCTTCATCGTCGTCACTGACTCTTAACAATATGGATTCAGATTCCGAAATCGAATACGACTATTATCCGAGGTTTAGAATCTACAAGAACGGCCGAATCGAACGTCTCGTGACCGAAACCTTCGTCACACCTTCACTAAACCCCGAAAACGGCATCGTTTCTAAAGACGTCACCTACTCACCGGAGAAAAACCTCTCTCTCCGTATTTACCTCCCTCATAGAGCCGTTGAAGAAAACAAGAAGAAGAAGCTCCCACTCCTCATCTACTTTCACGGTGGAGGTTTCATCATGGGAACAGCTTTCTCTACCGTTTACAACACTTTCCTCACGTCAACGGTTTCAGCCGGAGATTGCATCGCCGTCTCCGTGGACTACCGTCTTGCGCCTGAGCACCCTATCCCCACGGCGTACGAAGATTCATGGGACGCGGTGGAATGGATATTCAGACACGTCTCCGGGTCTGGTCCGGAAGATTGGTTGAACGAGAAAGCAGACTTCGGTAGAGTGTTTCTGGCCGGAGACAGTGCGGGAGCAAACATCGCGCATCACATGGGGATAAGAGCTGAAAAAGAGAGTTTAAGAATCTCCGGGATGACTTTGTTTCATCCGTTTTTCTTGTCAAAAGTTGGGGGTGTGGGATATTTTGAAGGGATTTGGGATATTGCGAGTCCGGACAGTGATAAGGAAGTGGTGGATCCGTGGATCAATGTTGTCGGGTCGGATCTATCCGGGCTGGGTTGTAAACAGGTTTTGGTGATGGTTGCGGGGAAAGATGTATTGGCGAGGGAAGGTTGGGTTTACAAGGAGGAGCTGGAGAAGAGTGGATGGGAAGGGAAGGTTGAGGTGATGGAGACTAAAGGGGAAGGTCACGTTTTCCATTTAAGGAATCCTGATTCTGATAAGGCTCGTGTAGTTGTTCAGAGATTTGCGGAGTTTCTTAGAGACTAGACTGCAGAATAAAGATGTCTCAAGCGAGTCTTAAGCAGTTGGTTACTACACAGTTGTTATGTTTGTAATACTTCAGTCTGTTTAAAGAGTCTATGTGTAATGTGTGTAGTCGAAATCCCTAAGATATAGAACATTCAGTTTTACATTTACATTTGTTCTTTAAGCTTGTTTAACCGATATGGAATCCCTTGTACTCTCCATTTGAAAGTAAGATTGGTCATTTGCGCAAAAAGAGAAAAGTTATGCAATGTGAAAAGTGTATCAAGAAAGGAAGAAAATCAAGATAACTACTTATTATTGTTCGAAAACAAGTAATTGTAGTTATAAATCCCTTGAACATTGACTATATAGTCAACAGTTCCAAGCCAAAGACTTGTGGATTAATCCATACCATCTTTTTTTTGGTTTCTTGTGGTTCAAGGAGGAAGTAGCTTATTGCTGGTTTGGCCATGAGTATTCCCAATAAGTATCTTTCATTGGAATTTCAGATGTTTTGAAGCGTTGTTGGTCGCTAATTTATGCCATTATATATTGAACTTGGTCTGCTTGTCTTTGGTATATGTTTAGCATCTTTTGTATGTTTGCTTCCCTTGTTTGGGCATAGTTTCCGGGAATATCATTTGGTTTCTCCGGTTTTGGTTATTTGGGACAGTCTTGCTGTCCTCCGATCAAGTATCCCAACATGCATCCTTGATGTTCTTCTTTTAATAAAATCAGATGACAAAAAGAGTCGCTGAAAAAAAAAGGAATGGGCCCGAAATTATATTTTCGGCATGAGTATGTATATCTATGGATAAGTTTAAGCCCATACAAAACAGAATCGGAACTAATAGATATCTAAAATATCCTATACAAAAATGATCATGTTTCTCTTAACTTGATGTTCAATCCAAATTATAAGTTCGGCCTTTCTCATCTGACAAATCGTGATTCTATTATTGGTTTTTAATGTTGGGCCCTTGACGATGAATATACTATCTTCATTTTCAAAGTAAACAAACAGACATTTGAGGATTGACAACAAAAAAAAAAGACATTTGAGGAAGAAAATGAATCATTATCAAAAAAATAATGAAAGAATTACAAATAAATAAATATATCCAAACTAAAATTCTGGATATAAAGAAAGTTCAAAAACAATTTCCTGTTCATGGGTTGATGAGAAGATTAAGACAAGAATTGGCAGCGGCTTATAGGGAAGAAGAGATTTTTTGGAGACAAAAAAGTAGAGAAGAATGGTTAAGGGAAGGGGATAGAAATACCACATATTTCCATAATGTGGTGAAGGGGAAACGAATTAGAAATAAAATTTTGATGCTCAAAGATATCTTTNAAAACAATTTCCTGTTCATGGGTTGATGAGAAGATTAAGACAAGAATTGGCAGCGGCTTATAGGGAAGAAGAGATTTTTTGGAGACAAAAAAGTAGAGAAGAATGGTTAAGGGAAGGGGATAGAAATACCACATATTTCCATAATGTGGTGAAGGGGAAACGAATTAGAAATAAAATTTTGATGCTCAAAGATATCTTTGGTACTGAACATTACTCAGAAGGATCGAAAGGACATATTGCGACTGAATATTTCAGGGAGTTGTTTACAAGCTCCAATCCAATAGATTTGGAAACATTGTTTGATGGATTTGAAAGTAAAGTTACCTCAGAGATGAACACTTTATTAATTAGGGAGGTATCCGCTGAGGAAATCAAGGATGCTGCTTTTGGTATTAAAAGTAGCAGTGCACCTGGAGAAGATGGACTTACGGGATTTTTCTATCAGAAATATTGGCACATTATTGGTCAGAAAATTATTCAGGATGTGCAAAGTTTTTTTAAAACTGCCATCATTCCTGCTGGGTGGAATCATACACAGTTATCTTTGTTGCCTAAAATTTTGAACCCTATAGAAATGAAGGATATGCGTCCAATAAGCTTGTGCAGTGTACAATATAAAATTATTTCTCGTATTTTATGTGAGCGCATGAAGACAGTTTTGCCACATATAATTTCAGAAACTCAAGGGGCTTTTGTAGGGGGCAGGTTAATAACGGACAATGTCATTATAGCACACGAGCTGGTACATGCGCTTCGTACAAATGAAAAAATTGGCAAAGAATGTATGGCCATCAAAACCGACATGTCAAAGGCTTATGATCGGGTGGAATGGAATTTCCTAGAAGTTTTATTAGAAAAAATGGGATTCCACAGGAAATGGGTCGTCTGGTTAATGTCATGTATTACTACTGTAACTTTCTCGGTTTTACTCAATGGACGTTCACATGGGTTTATTAAACCAGAAAGAGGTATTCGGCAGGGGGATCCTTTATCTCCATTTTTATTCATTTTATGTGCCGAAGCTTTAGTACATGTTTTAAATAGATCGGAAGCACAAGGGAATTTACATGGTATAAAACTTGCTACGGGCAGTCCTTCTGTCCACCATTTGTTATTCGCGGATGACAGCCTATTGCTATGTGAAGCTTCAGTGAGTGATAGTAATGAAATTATGAAGGGTCTAAAATGTTATGGGGACGCATCTGGGCAAATGATTAACCCTTTGAAATCTTCCATTATTTTTGGGAAAAAAATAGATAATGATCATAAACAAATGATCAAAGAGGTCTTGGGTATAGAAAAAGAAGGTGGTGAAGGTTCATATCTTGGTCTCCCAGAATGCTTTCAAGGTTCAAAAAAAGCCCTTCTCAATTTTATCAAGGATAAATTAGAAGGCCGACTACAGGGATGGTATTCTAAAACATTGTCAATGGGTGCCAAAGAAGTTCTAATAAAGTCAGTGGCCTTAGCTCTACCGATATATGCAATGTCTGTTTTTAAGCTTCCAAAAGGTCTGTGTGAACGAATTACGAGTGCGATTATAGAGTTTTGGTGGAGTAGCGGGGATAAAAAAAGGAAAATACCTTGGGTTTCTTGGGAAAAGCTTTGTAAACCTAAGGAACAAGGGGGTCTTGGGTTTCAGGATATTGGTCGTTTCAACCAGGCTTTGCTTGGGAAACAGGCTTGGCGAATATGGAATAATCCAGATTCCCTGGTCTCTCGAATCCTTAAAGGTAAATATTTTAAAAATGGCGATTTTCTAAATTGCGGAATGGGGACACGTCCATCTTATGCTTGGAGGAGCATCATGCATGGAAGAGAATTACTTAAAAAGGGTCTATATAGACATATTGGTACTGGAACTGACTCCAATGTTTGGGCGGAGAACTGGATTATTGACATTATTCCAAGGCCACCAATGTATCGTGAAAACAGCTCTGTGAATTTAGCTCTTAGAGTTTCAGATTTGCTAAGACCAGGGTCTAATCAATGGAACATTAATCTGCTAATGCAGACTTTTACGCCTCAGGATACGGAAAGGATACTACTTTTGAAACCATCATTGGTAGGTGACGACTCTATCAGATGGGGTTTTACACCAAATGGTACATATACGACGCGAAGTGGATATAAATTGTTAGAGGCTTTGGTGGATTACGATCATCCTCAAGGGCAATCGCTCACGCCTATTGAAAAGAAATTATGGCGGGATCTATGGAAAACAAAAGCTCCACCAAAAATAAAGCATTTTATGTGGCGGGCGCTATCAGGTGCGTTAGCGGTTAAGCAACGTCTGAATACTCGGGGTATTCCGATAGATCCAACTTGTCCAGTTTGCGGAAATGAAGACGAGACTATCTGTCATGTTTTATTCACATGTGTTAAAGCACGTGACATATGGAATCAAGCTAATGTTCCGGTTCCTTTAGGAGGTTTTTNATAAAGCATTTTATGTGGCGGGCGCTATCAGGTGCGTTAGCGGTTAAGCAACGTCTGAATACTCGGGGTATTCCGATAGATCCAACTTGTCCAGTTTGCGGAAATGAAGACGAGACTATCTGTCATGTTTTATTCACATGTGTTAAAGCACGTGACATATGGAATCAAGCTAATGTTCCGGTTCCTTTAGGAGGTTTTTCTAGGAATTCTACATTCTTAAATTTTGTCCATTTACTCAAAATTGCAAGGAGCGCCTCTTTGGATATCCATACACAAAAAGTTTTCCCATGGTTACTATGGGAAATATGGAAAGCTCGGAACTCTTTTGTTTTTAAGAATAAGGTTTTAGATTCTTCTTTTATTGCTAGGAGGGCATATGAAGAAGAACTAACATGGTATGATACATTCACGGGCTTGTCAGACCAAGTGGATGATATGGTCATAGATAAGGTTCGATGGAGGAAACCCCCTAATGGATCCCTAAAATGTAATGTGGGATCCTCATGGATTGACTCAAATCAGCCGAGTGGTGCATCATGGATTCTTCGCGACGAAAACGGAGCCACGCTTATGCATAGCCGTCGGTCTTATTCCTACATGCGCACGAAGATCGAGGCAGACCTATGGGCTCTTTTTTGGGCAGTGGAATGTTTGCACAATCTACACTTCTCGAACATTAGTTTTGAGACTTCTTCGGAGTGCTTACATGACGCTATGACAAATCCAACTGCACACCCTAGCCTCAGCCACATCCGCCACAACATTCTCTGGCTTCTATCACGTATAGATTCATGGAGTCTCGATCATACTCTTCCGGAGCGTAATGAAGCAGCAACGGCCATTGCTTTCAGTGTCACTCGAGATAGGCGCCACCAGTCGTACATCGCTCGGAACGCTCCATCATGGCTAGTTCACCTTCTAGTTTTGGAGGCAAAATGAGTAAGGGTGTTGGTAAAACTTGCTTCTTTTTTCTTCTGTTGTTATGATGGTGTCTACTGACATCTCATTTTTATGTTTTTTAGTCCTACACATTTGTTTGTCTTCAAACTTTGTTCATTGCTCAGTGTTATAAAAAAAAAACTAAAATTCTGGATGCGAAGAAATTCAAAAACTCCAAAGATGCACCGCCGAGACATCGTAACTCTCGTCACCTTGATAATAATCCCTTGTAGGTGAAAGCTCTTCTCTAAACCTCTCGCCAGAATACTCATCAGAGAAATCTTCAAACCCGGGAAACAACCCGTAATCCGAAGCGAAATTACCCGAACCAACCGTCGGAAGCATACTCAAAAACTCCGAACCATCAACATCCATCCTCAAAGACGAAGCCGCCGAGGTTGAAGAAGACTCTTGCTGTACCGTCTCTTCCGATTTAGCAAACCTCGCAGCCGCTTCTCTGATCTCCGACCGCGACATGTTTCTTCCACCGGAGATAACCGGAGGGTTGTCCGGGAAGTTGAAGTTGGCCTTGTTGCCACGGAGGCAGAAAAGAGCAGCGTCGAAGGCACGCGCCGCCTTCTCGGGAGAGTCGTAGGAGCCTAACCAAATACGTTCTCTGCTGTTGGGAAGTCTGATCTCTGAAACCCATTTCCCCCACTTCCTCTTCCTCACTCCTTTGTACTTTGACTGCATCGACGATGATCCTTCCTCCATCACCAAACCAACCCGGTTCAATTCGGTACGATTCTGTTTTTGGGTTTAGCTCTGTTCTTTCAGTCTACACTCTTCGGTTTCTATTTGAATTGGATAATAGAATTGGTTTATATATAGATATGAAGGAGAGAGTGTGAAGAGTGAGTTTTTGACTTGTTCTGGCGCGTGAAGAAGAGAAGGGTCAAACCTAAAATGTCAACGAGAGCGCGTTTTGTACTTATTACCGGTCTAATAAGTGTCAGGGGATTTGACACGTGGCGGATATATGAACAAGCCAAGACTCATTGTGTGGTCACGCGGGTAAACTCAGCAGAACTCTGTGACTCTGTTTGGTTTTCTTGTCCTTGTTTTCCACGTGATTAGTTACTTTTTTTTAATAACTAATTCTCTGACTTTAGTAGAGAAGTCAATTTTCTCAGATGATTGCTGAAGATGATTGTTGTAGTTAACATTACAGTAACTCTACACTGTAGTATCTGTATAGAGACATTTGTGAGAGATTTTGATCAAAAAAAAAAAAGACATTTGTGAGAGACTTTAATCTGTTCGCTTTTCTAGTTTGTAATTCTTTTTTTTTGTCAACAAGTTAGTAATTCTTATACAATGTGGATATTATCATTCCCAAAGTAGCCCACTACAAAAAGCGTATAGAGCCCATTGAATGTTTAATTCTTAAGCCACTTTATATAGGACTAGTAATTGGTCTTGATCAGGCCCGATGTTTTTATTTTGCCAGCCAAAACTTTATTTTATAAACAATCGTCATTTCATTTGTTTCATCTTCATACCTTTTTTTTTTTAACAACATTTCATCCTCATACATAACATTATAATAAGTAATGCCTATCAACAATAATAGAATTCTGTTATATATATTCTGAGTTTTATTAATCTTCAATGCATCCATTAGGAAAGATTTCTAATCATCATTCAAGTAAGTTATATGTATCAACAATAATACAAATGCCCCTTTTCAAAAAAAAAAAAAACAATAATACAATTTTTGTTGTGTAATTGCCAAGTTTGGACCCAAATGTCAAAATCTCAGTATATAACTTGTTAATCGTTGTTTCTTTTTTGTTGCAGATTCACACGTACATTAAACTATTCGGATGTGATGTAGAGTTTGCAACTAACAGAAAGGTACTTAAAATTTATAAAGGAAACGAGCACATTTACCATAGTCCTTTGTCATGCAAATATATATTGTTTTACTGGAAGAAAATTCAACGTAAGAAAATCAACTTAGAAAGAAGCGTGGGCTGCTCTTCTAGTATGGATTCCACACATGAGTGGAATGCACGTTGAGTTGCTACCGTATCGCTTTCTATAATATATAATTGGAACCTCTTCCATTGAAATTATTGATTTAATTTAATTTTCAAACTCCTCTCCTCTCATTGCATATTAAAGGTGTGAGTATTAGCAGGTGATTATGTTTTTAATGACTCCATATTAATACGTTTTCAAATTATGTATAATTATTGAATACGTTTTGCAATTATGTATAATTATTGAATATTCTGTTTTAAAATCTATATGGCCAAAAATATGTTGAAAACTGTAGTAAAAATTTATTAAAATTTTAAAAGGGTTCCTCGTGATCGTTTTTTTTTATGAGAAATTTTGAAGTGATCTTTATTTTGTTCAACAGTCTCATGGAAAAGTCTAATATTTGGTATAATGTGAAATCATTCTAAATTGAAACGGTATGTAATCTAGATTGGTTTAAAATAGTTGGAATTATAATCAACCAGATGATACACTTGGGAAAAAAAAGAATTGTAAACCCTTAATTCCACAACACCTCATATTATCAAAGATTATAAAATATTCCAACAAATAGCAATTGACTATATATTATTAACATTTTGGAAGCTGACCAAAACGCTTGTAAATGATGAAAGTGTGACCAATGGTATGAAACTGATTCGGCCGACAACATATACACTAATAGGGCCAGTAAGAGCCCATTAAACAATTAAAGAGTAAGCATCACAGGTTAAAAATTCTAGAAGAGGAGGTACTCAAAACTTAGGACGTACAACATCGGCTTATGTACTGCTTTGCGACAAAGCGTAGGATTTAGGTTTAATAGTCACTGAAACCTGAACCAGAAGTTTCTATTCCTTCAAAGACCCTTTGTATATATATCTCCGGTGTACTTTCATTACATCACAACTCTCGACCACCTTCTTCTTTGTCTTATCTTTGCCAATTCATTTTGTTTTTCCTTTCCAAATATATATAGCGTAGAAAAAAATTAAGTATTAATTAAAGAGTAAGGGAAACATATAAAGTAACTGATCCTGTCTTCAAAGCCTCTACGTGGCGTAATCTTCTGTGTTTCTGCCAGCGCTTCAGACAACAATTCTTTCTCCTACCTTTGGATATTCATCAAGGTACCCACAAACTATCCTTAATACCGATTATTATCATCGCAAGTGATGAAAATAATAATTAGTTTGTGATTACTGATTTCATCGATGGTAATAGTTATTTTTTAACATTTATTCCGGCGGCTATAATCTCTCTACTATAGTATAAGTACTTTGAATTAATCACATACGTTAGACCATAACCCAATATTAATATATTCTCATCCATTTTTTTTTCTTTGTGGTAAACAACACCAACTACTCTTTATATTTCTTTCACAATAATATTGATAATTAGTAGAGGTGATTAGTTTAAGTAGATAAGAAAAAGAATGCATCAACAAGAAAAAGAAAGAAAGGCAACAACTGTGAAACATAACTTAGCCACACACACAAAATTTAAAACGTTGAAAATTGTGTGTGTTTTAGTGTTTGTAATAATCGGTTGAGAAGTGCCTCTCTTGTTTTCGTAATATCTCTTTTCTTTATTTTATTTTTCTCATCTTCTTGATTGTCTCTTCTCTTCCATGGCGATCAATGGGTGAAAATGGAGATATTTAGTTTTAATTCAAATAATAACGTATATGAGTGTAGGTGGTTCGTTAATTAATCTTCCACATGAAGTTATCTCCCAAGAGTTTCTCAAGTTTAAGTCTCGCTGATGATGACCACGACGGTGTGGAGCTAAGTCCTTCACCAGTTTCTGGCGGCGCAATGCTGCCGATTTTTCTCAGCAGCTTGAGTCGTAATGGAAGCGGAAGCAGCTGGGAGAGAGAGCTCGTGGAGGTGACTCTAGAGCTCGACGGAGACGACTCCATTGTCGTCTGCGGAATGTCGGAGGCGGCTTCTGTTGAAACACGACCAAGAACGGTGGCTGTGTCGGAAAGATTAACGAGGAGTCTGTCCACGGCTCCTGCAAGGATCAGGCAGACATTGGAGAAGCTACTAAGGTCGGATTCGACAAGAACGACGGCTTCTTCTGTTGTCACGACAGAGATAGGAAGGTTCACGAGGATAAGGCAGACGTTGGAGAAGCTACTTAGGTCGGACTCGACAAGAACGACGAGTTCTGTTGGACGTGAGAGAGATGTTGAACGTCAGGGAAGAGAGACACCGATCATGTCCGCGAGGGATAAACGTAAGGAAGAGGTGAAGTTGCAGCGAACGAGGTCAAGCGCACAAAGAGCGTTGAAGGGTTTACAGTTTATCAACAAGACAACGAAAGGGAACAGCTGCGGTTGCGATTGGGGTTGCGATTGCGATGAGATGTGGAAGAAAGTTGAAAAGAGATTCGAAACCCTTTCTAAAGAAGGGTTGCTTGTGCGTGAAGATTTCGGAGAGTGCGTTGGTAAGTGAATCAATAAAACCCTAGAAATAAGAATCTATTCTCATATGATCATATAACCAAAAACAATTTAATAAAAAAAATTAATATTAAAAATATAATTTGGGAGCTATGTATATGTATATTATTAACTCATAAAAATTTTAAGAGATAAAAACATTTTATTATGCCCCTCTTTGTGTAACAAACTCTTGTTTTGAGATAGGGATGAAAGATTCAAAAGAGTTTGCGGTGAGTGTATTCGACGCTTTGGCTCGAAGGAGAAGGCAGAAGCTGGAGAAGATAACGAAAGATGAGCTTCATGATTTCTGGTTACTCATCTCTGACCAAAGCTTCGACGCGCGTCTTCAAATCTTCTTTGATATGTACGTTTCCGACACTCTCTTTCTCTTTTTTCTTTAATAATTTTTGGTTTTGTCTTTACGTTTATAACTGTTGCGGGAATAACGCGAAGCATAAGAAAACAAATGTGTTGATCCATGTGCAACGTATAATTAGTTGTTGATGATAACAATCATTGATGAATTATTTATGGGTAATTAATACTTTTACCTGTTTTAGTATCCATATTTCTCAATAATGCATATGATCACCACTTGCTCATTACAAACTTTAGGTTATTTATCTAGTTATATTTTATACTGAGTAAATTTTTGTTGATTAAAGAAACATTATTAGCACAAATCAGTCGCTGGTAGGAATTTTTTTTATCTTTAGTGAGACTACTGCAATTTCACAGTAAATTTTTCTACAACTTGGGAAATTATTAGGCGTTAATGGATTATGTGTTAGGTATGCACCAATATACGTCTAAGAGCATATCCATTACTTGAGCTGGAGATATGCTGTAAGGCAACGCAGCCAAAATGTTTCACTAATATATCATATCCTTGTAGATAAGATGCATCATTTAAATAACGTGGTGTTCTTAGCCGTCGGATTTTGTTAGTTGTTACTTGTTAGTTCACGCAGTCAACGGTGAACAACATTTGAGTGAGTTTGTTTGACTAATGGGCTGCGGTTACTTGGCCCAGTAAAACAAACTTTTTAACCAGATTTTCAAAAAAATATTTCCTCCTTCAGCTTTCTTCCCGCTATTAGTTTCTTGCGAGTAAAGCAATAAAGAAACAGGTCTTGTTCATAGCCAAAATGTTTTTTTAACCAAACATTTATTTCAGCATTATCATCAGTTATACTGTCATGTTTATGAAATAATTTTCTGTTCGTTTACTTTATAAGTTCTCAGTGTTTCTAATTTTTAAAAATGCTACCTGTTTTGTTACAGGGCTGATAGCAATGAAGACGGGAGGATCACCAAAGAAGAAATCAAAGAAGTAATATTATATTCTTTTAACATACTGATCGAAACGCATATACGTTAGGTTTAAAACAATCTAAAAATCCTAAATAACGTTTACCCTCTAAACACACAGCTTTTAATGCTAAGCGCATCAGCAAACAAGTTAGCAAAACTAAAGGAACAAGCAGAAGAGTACGCATCTCTGATCATGGAAGAACTTGATCCAGAGAATTTTGGATACATCGAGGTAATAAAAAACAACAGACATTAATATACTCTAACTCTTCAGATACACTCTTACACTATCAACGACCCTTCATGTTGTTTCAGTTATGGCAACTCGAGACACTCTTACTTCAGAGAGACACGTACATGAATTACAGTAGACCGCTTAGCACGGCAAGTGTTGGCATTACTACACCAAGACGGAATTTAGTTAAACCTCGTCATGTGGTTCAAAAATGTAGACAAAAGCTTCAGTGTTTGTTTCTAGATAACTGGCAACGAATATGGGTTCTGTTATTATGGTTCATAGTCATGGCCATTCTTTTTGTCTGGAAGTTCTTACAGTACAGAGACAAAGCTGCTTTTAAGGTCATGGGTTATTGTTTAACCACTGCTAAAGGAGCTGCAGAGACTCTCAAGCTCAACATGGCTCTGGTTTTGTTACCTGTTTGTAGAAACACATTGACTTGGCTTAGATCAACAAGGGCTCGAGCCTTTGTTCCTTTTGATGATAACATCAACTTCCATAAGGTAACAAATACAACACAACCTTCCTTGTCTCTTTCTATTTTTCAAGACTCTTATCTCTCTCAGGCCCAAGATTTTGGAGACCATAAACATTTATTAAGAATTTTGATTAAACCATTTATGTCTATGTATATAATTTCCATTTTTTTTTTGCAAGGCCAATGTTTCATTAGTCATACTAAGATTTGGCCTGACCTCTCTATTTGTGTTACAGATTATTGCTTGTGCCATAGTGATTGGGATTTTTGTTCATGCTGGTACTCATCTGGCATGTGATTTTCCACGGATTATAAACTCAACTCCAGAAGATTTTGCCTTGATTGCTTCTCCTTTCAACGGTGTCAAGCCCACATTCAAAGACCTCTTGACAGGTGCAGAAGGAATCACAGGGATCTCTATGGTGATCTTGACAACCATCGCCTTCACATTAGCATCAACTCATTTCAGGAGAAACCGTGTGAGTCTACCGGCACCACTTAATCGGTTAACTGGCTTTAATGCATTCTGGTACACTCATCATCTCCTGGTGGTTGTCTACATTATGCTCATTGTGCATGGGACCTTCCTCTTCTTTGCTGATAAGTGGTATCAGAAAACTGTAAGCAGAAACTTTGCTCTTGAACCTAAATGGTTAACATGTCTTGAAACCTAAATGTGTTGCTGTTGAAACCTCTCAGACTTGGATGTACATCTCGGTTCCTCTGGTGCTTTATGCTGCAGAACGAAGTATACGAGCTTGTAGGTCCAACCATTACTCTGTTAAAATCCTTAAGGTTTCTATGCTACCAGGGGAAGTACTCAGTATAATCATGTCAAAGCCTCCTGGATTCAAGTACATGAGTGGTCAGTACATATTCTTGCAGTGTCCATCAATCTCTAGATTTGAATGGTGAGTAACTGATGCTAACCTCCTCTCATAATGTTTAGCAAATATCTTTAGTTTTAGACATATAGATGTAACCTAAACCTTTCCAGGCATCCTTTTTCTATTACCTCTGCGCCAGGAGATGAACAACTAAGTGTTCACATCCGAGCACAAGGAGACTGGACAGAGGAGCTACAACGAGTTTTGACAGTAGGCAAAGATCTCTCAACATGTGTTATTGGCCGATCAAAATTCGCTGCCCATTGCAATATTGATTTACAAGAGTAAACTCCAAACATTTTAGTTGCTTCCTCATAATTGCATTACAATACTTAGTTGTATTAACATGCCTTGTTGATATTGCATTGGCAGCCGACCAAAGTTACTAGTAGACGGTCCATATGGAGCTCCAGCACAAGACTACAGAAGTTATGATGTCTTGCTCCTCATTGGATTGGGAATAGGAGCTACTCCTTTCATAAGCATCCTCAAGGATCTCATGAACAATTCAAGAGATGAACAGATAGTAAGCTTGACTCAGTGCACCAAATCTTTTAAGGAACCTTGCACCAAATACATAATATCTTTAACTTGCTATTGCGCAGTTAAATGAGTTCAGCAGATCAGATTTCAGCTGGAACAGCTATACATCTTCATATACAACACCGACCCCAACTTCAACACAAGAAGGAGGGAAAAAGGCAGTGAAGGCTTACTTCTACTGGGTCACAAGGGAGCCAGGATCCGTTGAATGGTTTAGAGGAGTGATGGAAGAAATATCAGATATGGACTATAGAGTAATAAACACCAACATAGCAAGATCAATACTTAGCTTTCTTGATATAGATACTAAACATATTCCTTCATCTTTGTCGTGAAAACAGGGGCAGATTGAGTTGCACAACTACCTTACAAGTGTTTATGATGAAGGTGATGCAAGATCAACTCTGATAAAGATGGTTCAGGCTTTGAACCATGCCAAACATGGAGTTGATATTCTATCCGGAACACGGGTAAGAAGAAGTGTTAAATATCATTAGACCAACATTATGTTCCAATGTTACCTAACCACTAACAAGCTAAAACATCATTCATCTGAACAGGTGAGAACACATTTTGCAAGACCCAACTGGAAGGAAGTTTTCGGTAGCATAGCAAGAAAGCATCCAAATTCAACAGTCGGTAAATATTTACAGTGAATTAATGAAAATACCCCTGGGAAAGTTCAATGCGTTAGGAATTAAGTAAGACCAAGAGCAAACACAGGAACTAAATTGTTTGTTTGCTAATACTAATTGAAATTTGCAGGAGTGTTTTACTGCGGCATACCAACGGTGGCAAAGGAGTTAAAGAAGCAAGCACAAGAAATGAGTCAAAAAACAACCACACGGTTCGAGTTCCATAAAGAGAATTTTTAATTCAATGCTATACAAGTCAGTTTCTATCATCACTTTAAACAAAGTGAAATTAAAAACCACACAAGGCACTATTTTTCTCATTCTAACTTCACAGTCACTTAGCAAAATAGATTATATACTAGTAATATACACACGGAAACTGTCCTGCATGCATGTTTGTATAGACCGGCCTAAAGGCATCATGAAAATAATACAAATATAAGTTACTTTACTGAATGATGTTTAAGCGTCTTTTCCCAGCAAAACATATCAGTGGAAGTAGATGGTAGAACAAGCATTGCTCAAACTCGAACTTGTACTGGATAAAAGAGTTTCTAAAAACGAGGAACATGTTGTTTACTAACAAAAACTTTTATTCAAATCCAAAGGAAACCACAACATTGAGGAAGCAAAGCATAAAACAGAAACAAATCTTAGAACATAAAGATAAGGAGATGGACGCTAAAACCAAAGACGTCCGAATAACACCCAACTCAGTAGATAACGCTTATTTTTTTTTTTTTTTTTGAACACATCAGTAGATAATTGCTTATTTTGGATTCTTGCAAGTAACTCCGTTGTAACCAGTCTAGCAACACCTTGAACACTTGTTATACTTCGTTTCGCAGTGTATTCATTTAGTTTCTTCTTGATCGAATCGATAATCTTGAGAACCATAATTAAGGAGAAAATACGTCAAGGAACAAGTTGGATTTTCTCCGAGGATTGATTCCCATGTCATTACACAGATCATCAGCATGTTGGATGCTGAAAGTTGAAAAGCAGTGATTTTTGAAGAATTTGCTTGATCTCTTCATCACTTCCATTTCTTTAAGGAACCGGTCCAACATTTTCTCTTTGCTTGGTAATTTGAATTTCTCATCCATGAGCCGGTTTAACCACATGGAACGTAGCTCTGATGCCCGTACGTTCGAGCTCTAATAATTAAATATTTATAAATTCCAAATTATTTTATGCCTTAGATTTCTTAAAAGGTAAACTATAAAGTATTTTAAACAATCTTAAAAATGAGAACTGAGATTTACGTGAGTATTTTTATTATGTATATATTAAGTTCCACAAACATAAAAAAATATAAAATTAAAACTCAAACTAAATATTTTGTTTTTAATAATGATAAAATATAATATTTCTATTTCAGTAATAGTGTATAGTGCTACGCTATTTAAAAGGATTTTGAAATTATTTGATCAAAATATTTATTTTTGTAAAAAAATACTTTTAGTTTCCTTTTTAATATCTCTTAAATAAACACTAACTATGTTATTTTAGGAAAATTTCGAAAACAAATATTAAATTTCATTTATATATAAATATTTATATTTTATAAATATTTCCATTTATTTACGTGTTTTAAAAAAGTAAATTTAAATGAAAAATTAAGTAAAATATAATTATGAAAAAAGGAAATACATTATTAATATCAATCTTATTTAATATTTTTAGTTCTATTTAATATTTTTAGTTCATTAAGGGTATCTATGTAATCAACCATCGTGAGTTAATGTGAGCGCGACACGTAGGAAACTGACTTCTCAAATAATATTATAGAGATAAAAATACAATTGCTATATGTATATATAACATTTTGACTATAATATATATATTATATTATATTATATTTTGACGTGAGCAAAATGTTAGAGTGATGGCTGTGAAGCTAATCAGTTGTTGATTGATAACCGACTTTTAAAATGTTATAATGTGTGTAACTGCATGATGGGACACTAAGAAAGATTTAGGCGTCGAAGGACCTCGATAGATTCCTCCTCTAATTAGTCAGCTCGGGGAAACACCGCCAGAGTTGCACTAACTGGGCCTCGAGGAAGGAATTTCAGAGCTTCCCACAGCGACGCAATGCATAGGGACACAATCCTCCTAGGCCTAATGGTGGAAGCTTGCAAATTCTGATAAGTGCAGTAAAATCGATTTTCAAGCTCAAACTGCGTCTCGGATACAACGCCATTAACAAAGTCTATTGCCGTCTTAACATAATGGGGTTAACATTGATGACCAATTGCAGAAGCTGGTGGATGAGGAATGGTTGGCATGCAATGGTAACCGCTATGCTAGACCGATAGCCTACAATGGTTGGGACTGCCAAAATTCATCCACTGAGTAGCTATTAGATCAGTGCCAACATATACCCAGTACAAGAAGTGATGAAATTGGTTTCTTACATACCCTAGTTGTATGTACCAGCAAGCATTGAGCATTTCCAAGGTTAGCTGAAAAAGTTGTCTTGTCTCACCGAAGATAATAGTTACATCCGGGTTTGATGTAACCCTAAACACTGAGTTAAATGCATCACATCCGATTCTGAGAAATCCATTAAGTGCTCGAAAATATACACTTTGATTAAAGCCGTCACCAAATTCAGAAAAACTTCCAAGAAAGAACCCATTTTAATTAAGAGACACAGAATACCGCGTCCCTAATAGACGCGTATGCACATCCATTCCATACGGATACTGATGATACCACAGCTCAGCTTCACCCTAGCTTCAACAGAGAAAAAGACAAGCGAACAGGATTGAGAAGACGAAAACGTGTGAGACGGCGAACAAAATTGAGAGAATGAAGCCCTATCGTAAACTATGGAAATGAAATAACCCTAGTGTGATCATAAAAAGAAATAACCCTAGCTACCAAAGACATCAAATAAATTTCTTGGGCTTGGGCTTTACAAGGAAAACATTGATTATGGGTTTTTGTTTATTTCAATTGATAATAATTAGTCCATTTTGGACTAATGGGGTGGTATAGGTAAGTTTACAAGGCCATTATTGACATCCAAGAAAATTTTATGGGTTTTTATTTTTTATTTTCTTTTTGAATGAATGTTAAATTTATTCAACCCAAAAAATATTTGTACAAAAAATGCGTTTCTATTCAAAAGAAAGCGTTTAGAAACAAGAGATTAAAACCAAAGTATAATCTTCATCTTGTCATCTAGATGAAAACCATCTCCCCCATTGCCTCCTCATATCCTTTGCCTCCCAGCATCTTAATTGTAGAAATCATGTTTGTAATACTTTTATCAATTTCCAAACTTGTGAACAACTTGTGAACAACGATTTGCCTCCCAGCATTATGATTTCATAACCTTGATTCATTATAGTAGTATAATTTACTATATAGTAAAAATACTATTTACTTATTTGATAATGTAAAATATCAAAAATGTTAAAATTTATAATTTAAACTTAATTCATATAACACTTTTCATATGACTTATAGAAAAAACATATTTTATTATTTTCCACTCACTATATATGATTATATCACGTTTTCAATTTACTACATTAGTTTCGTTGGTACACAAATGACAGCACAAAAGACAACTTGAATCTTATATATTAAAACAGAAGTCATAACCTTGATTCATCTGTGATTTTTTAAAAAATGAACTATTCCTTAGAAAGATTATGAAGATTATCAAATGTTACATAATTTAATAATAATATCTTTAAATATCTTTGTCTTTCTATTTGTAATACAAATGAAATAACTCCAAAAAAATCTTTTTGGCATCTTTTTAAATTGTATTTCCATAATATTACCCTATATCTTTATCTTTTATTTGAAATACAAATATTTCTGTTTAAGATATTAAAATTTATTTAGATAACATTATACATTCCTAAATTCTAAAAATAAAGTTATATACTAGAGTTTGACCCACACAGATTTTTCATCTATAAATAGAACACTTTGATAGTATTATAAAAAATGTAAATATATGATTTACATTTAATGTTCTATGTTATATAACTATAATTTTTTTTTATTGTTATTACTAACTAATATATTTTTGAGTTTGGTACATAAATTATAATCTGAAATAATCTAATATATAATCTTCTTTAATATAAAGTTTTAGTTTCTGCAATTTGCGTACAATACATTTTAACATTTATTTAGATATACTATAAATAAATATTTTTCAATGATAATTTATATTTTCATGTTATGTTTAAAAATGATACTTTAACATCTATTATTTTAGTATTTTATGAAATTTTATAAATAAATATATTATTATTTATTGATAATTTTTTATAAATTATAAATAAAAAGAAAACCCGTACGGTTGTGCGGGTCAAGATCTAGTTAACATTAAAACACCCAAACTTGTGCAATTGTTGCTGTCAGTTAGACATGAATGGCTATCCTTTTTTTTTTATCAGCTACCGGTAAAATACAACGTTATTTTAAATTTCTGTGTCATCTACGTTTCATACATGCAATTATGAGAATTTGATAGAATAGTATGTTTGTCAACATTTTTTTTTAATTTTTCTGTTTTATTCATATCATTTTTTTATGTATCACTATTTAAACTTTAGCAAAAGAAACATACATTTTAAAAATAAAAGTAGCTTTGAATATACAAATATTCTTTATTTGATATTTGAAAAAATAATATCCATTATATAGAATCCTGATGAATCACAATCCATGATGAATTATGATATTTTATCTATTTAATTATCTTTTATTTTTGATTTCTATTTGTTGGAATTTTTAATTTGGGATTTTTGTTTGATAACTAAAAAGGCAAAAAAATGATCTTAACTGTAATGTACTTTGGGTTTGATTTTCAGGTTTTACGTTATCATTATTATATTTTTTTTTTTAAAGAAAGAAAATAAGAGACGCAAGGGTTAAGTCCCGCAACGAGCAAAGATTACTTCTTTGGATTTTGCTTTGACAACATATAGTTTATAAGAATCGGTCTCCATGTGACTATTTGTATCTACTTGATGGTGGTCACGTAAATGTTCAAGGATGATGGCTCCAACGGAGTGATGATGTGATGTTGTCGTGGATTATGAGCATGAATCAATTGATGGTCACAGAATGACATGCAGTGGTTTATCGACAAAGTGTCTTGTGTAAATTGTTAGTGAAACGATTCAAGTGTCGTGTAAATTGTTAGTGAAACGCATTCAAGTGTCGTGGATTATGAGCATGAACCAGTTAGAGGTGGGTTCTTAAGAGATGAGTTCACACTTTTTTAGAAAACTCACCTCTTTTTTTTTTTTTAATAAGAGTTTCTTTAACTGTTCGCGGACTTCATTGACATATGGCGATCTACGATTATTATTTTTTTATTATTTTCTAACTCAAACAAAAAAAGTTAAGAACTTTTAATGAGCTCTTATTGATTAATG